TTTCAATTATTATGCACTGTAAGCGCACCAAGCGAAAAATGCAAATGCCAAAAGCAAGCTTCTTCACACCATATTTCTCTCAGTGGAGCATATAGTTGCAGACAGAGCACAGTTAACCAGTGTGAAGACTGTGGCTGACAGTATGTGAAGCTTCCTCGCTGCCTGCCTGCCTGCTCCTTTGTGAATGTGCACTGGTGTGGATGCAATCATCTGCTCTACTCCTCTGCTCTGCCGTCAACACAGAAAGATGGGGCAGAGACGGAGAGGGAGAGGGAGACAGGGGGTTGGTAGAGCGGTCTGTGAGCATTAGCGTCTCTCCTGACTTCAAAGAAAGGAGAGGAAGGAGACATATAGTGTTGTGTAGCGATGTTAGCATGTGTCAGTCTCTCGTGGCAGTACGGGAAGAGGTTGAAGTGCCAGAGGTTGAATCATAATCATTTCACTGATGCAACAGACACACAGACAAATTTGTTTCCTCAGAGCACACACACACACACACACACACACACACACACACACTCACACTTCAATGACACACAATAAACAACCATCAATACAGATTACACCACCCGCCTTGACACACAAACACTGAAACAGCCCATTTACAAACACAGACCTCAGGTTACACTCAAGGTCTTTTACATGTACACACACACACACACACACACACACACACACACACACACTGTTATGACCTCGTCTAGTGCCATGTGCAGGAGGCGAGTTGAGTGACAGCAAACTGACGATGGCTCTCCAGATGGTCCAGATGTGTCTGCAAGAGTGTGTAGTTCTGTTTGTCTGTGTGTGTGTGTGTGTGTGTGTGTTTGTGTGATGCAGGTGAATATGTGCAGACTGTATGTCTGGCCTGAGTGGGAGTAAATGAGTTGCAGCAGGGCAGAGCCTTTGCCAGACCCATTACACACACACACACACACACACACACACACACACACACACACACACAAACACACACACACACACTAAACCCAATTTTACCTTTTCCTTTACACACATATACACCTCTGCACACACACAATTCAACAACACATCTACTCATTACCACCACAAACCACACACACACACACACACACACACACACACACACACACACACAGCTGTCCTGTGAGTGTTGTGTTTAATGCTAGATGACAAACAGGTCTGTGTTAACATCAGCCCAATGTTAGACTCCCCTGCTGTTTGTCTGGGACTCTCAGCTCCACTCTGTCATTATTGCTGCTCCTTGTGTTTGTTTGTTTTCTGTTTTTTGGTTTTTTTCTGACAGGGTGGCCCACAGTCCGTCTCATGTAATATAAGTGCCCTGCAGACACTTTGCAGGCAATCCCCCCCAAAAACACGAAAGCTTCTCAGGAACTGGGAAAAAAAAAGATTTATTTTGCTCTTCACATCCACAAATGAAATTTCACCAGGCACGTTTACGCAGTTCGCCTTGCAAGAAGCCGATTCTGCAGCGGCATTAGCTGTCAATTATACGAATGATACAATTCAGTGTAATGTCGGAAAGGCAGGGCTTTGCAGCAGACTGACAGAGAGAGAGAGAGAGAGAGAGACAACACAACAGAGCAGAGCACAGGCCGACCTTGGTGCTGTGTTTAAACACCTTCAGGTCTGCTGGGTGGGACGTTCTATCAGCCATAAGTGTAAGTTATATGAGGGCTAACCCCAAGATGGAACCATTAAATGTTCCTGTCAGCCAATGATATGACAATAATGTCGAGAGATTAAGTGCTTACTGAGGAGTAATGGTGGCCTGTGTCATTAGACGCCAAATGAAAGATTGATTATCCAGCAGGTCTGCCTGCACAAAGCTCACAACACAAAACTGTACACAGGAAGTGGAAAAAGCAGGAATACCTGACAAAGTCATAAAGTCACCCTGTAATTAATACCACTTTTGTAACATTTGCAGTGTTATTGCTGAAATGCACAACTTTTAACACGTTGTCACTCTCAGACCTCACCTCTATTTATTTATTAATGTTTTTAGAAAATGTAACAGTTCTTTCAACAACATTTCTGTGGAAATCTGAACCAATTATTTACTCATTTTGTTGGCATCAGTCTAAACACAGTGCTTCCAAAAAATAAAAAAAACCCCACCATGTGCAAGTTTTTAACTGCAGAATGTCAACTCCCACAATGTTGCTCCACAGCCCAAATTCCCACAGAAAATACCAATGATAAGACCTCAGCGGTTGGTACCAGCCCAGTTGGTATCCAGTTGTCAAGCAGAGACAGATGTTATCTGCCCCTCACACAGAGGTGGAAGAAGAATTCAGATCCTTTAAGTAAAAGTACCAGTACCACAGTGTAAAATACTGCATCACAGGTATAAGTCTAAATATACTTAAAGTATCAAAAGTAAAAGTACTCATTCTGGTTGTTCTGGTCGAGTTTTATTTCACACAAGATAAACCTGATGGGTTGTGAGATGATTATGAATTTCTGTTCCAGAAATTTGTATTATTATCTTAATATTGCAGAATTGTGTGTATGAAATGAAACTATCTGAAACATTTCTTTGTAACAACAAGGCAGGCAACAAGGCAGTGCATTGTAGCAACACCAAAAAAAATTCAAGATTTGCCATCAAGTTGAATCAACACCTCTTCACAGAGGTAATTTTGCTGCAGGGGTATATTACATTATGGGCTTCCCTGTTACTTTGTCACAGTGTTTGTAAGACTTGGCTATAGACTCCAGCGGTTTTGTTTTGACTAGACTGCTTCTAATAAGACACATTAATGATTTCTTCAGGGATTCACTTATTTTCAGCTGCAATACTGTATTCAACAATTACAACACAGACTATAATAAACATAGGGTACCTTCTTTATAATAATAAGCAACATGTACTGTTAAGCTATTGCCTCTTCCACCTGCTGAATCTGCATTTAAATTGCTTCAGTTGCCATCTGTGTAAACTACAATCCACTGAGGACTGGATCTAATTTGGTGCACAGTTGTGTGTGCCACTGGTTGTTGCCTATAAAACTGTGTTCGAGGGTTTACCTGCCCTCTGTTTTTGATGTACTAAACAGTAGTCTGAGAGGGGCTTCCAGATGAAGTGCACTTCCCTGTAGCCTAAAGGCTGTTTTGTGATGTGCTCTTGTACATAATGTACTCCACTCACTTCCCCAGACACTATTTTTGTGCACGACCCATATGTGCCGGACCCTACCAGCTAGGGATGCCTATACTTTGCAGCAGACTGTCTTCAATCCAAGGGGTTTCCTGTATGTGCTCTGCTCCACTGCACCCTGCATACAGTGCACCCCACTGACCCCTACAAAGCTGTTTTGAGGCATGTGCTGTACTTCACTGAGTCCTGCAGAGCAAGCTTTGCCATCTGTGGCAGAGTTAGCACAGTGCACATCAAGTCCACATCAAAATACTGCTTTCTGTCCTTCTGAATAACAGCACATGGAAATGAATACAAAAAATATCCCCCCCCCCTTCCCACATATGTCAGATTCAATCAGCAATTTCATCCAGAAATGTATTAAATCCAAAAATAAAATACAGATATTAGCAGTAGAAGCTTGAGTTTAGGACATTTTCTTCTACGGATATGAAATGATTTATTCAGTCTTCTTCTGTGATTTCTGTCGTTATGTTTCCAGCCTTAGTCCTGTTGTGGAAAAATAAAACAAGAGGAGAAGAACTGAGTATTTCAGCTAGACCAGGTCACCAGAACTGAACCTGCACTGAATCTCTTATGGCCACATAAGGGATTCACAGGTGTCACAGAGGCCTAATTAGCCAGAGTAATTGGAAACACCTGTGAAGGTGTGCAGGGTCTCTTAAAAAAAAAAAAAAACGAAGGGGGAGTCAAAAGACTTATAATATTAATTATAATATTCTCTGTTTGCTCTGTAGATAAATTGAATCAAAACTGAATTCATGAAGCAACAATTCTGGATCATTATTTGTCATCAACACCAGATTCTCTTATTCAAATTAGGCCCACCTGCTGTTTGGAGCCTTTCCAGTGTGGGCACCGGGTCAGATGCAAACCTGTCTGACTGGAACAATTTCAGCAATTAGATAGTGAGGGGAGGCAATTAAGACCAAGTGAGAAGTTAATCTAGCTGTAAAAAAACAAGAAAACAGATGCATTTTTCAACTGAGTTACTCACATTGTCCGAGCTATAATATTTCAAATCATATCTGCAGGGATTGTAATTCCTGTAATTTGGCCCCTGTCTGTAGATAACCGTTTCAGCCCGTCATATATCAGTGGGTGTATCAGTATGGCAGTTACCAGCCTACTACAGAAGGCTCTATCTGCAGCTCTCTATGGCTTCACTCTGTGTTGCCCACACATTAGAGTGGGCTGTGGAAGCGAAACATTGTTGGATGTTGAAGTGCAACATCGCCTGCAGAAAATAAACAATTAAAAGAGCAGAGTCACACAGACCAGGAGAAGCAGAAGAGAATAAAATAGAAGAGAATGTGAGGTTTTACCCTTCGCCACACATGTGCATATCCCTGTATGTGCATGTGTTTGTCATTGAAGGCAATGTTGGACCTTAACAATCACAAGGCCACTGGCATCATCCCTCACTTGGGAGACGGGGTCACACAGATCCCTCATCCCAAAAACACAACTCCCCTTCCCTCCTTCTTTCTCTCCCACCCCTCTCTCTCTCTCTGCTGCAGTGCACTCAGACAGGGGTCTCAAGATGGGCTGTCAGTCTCCAATCACACCACTAATCTTCCCTGATACACTCTGATGCATACAACCCCTCCTCGCTCTCTGCCTCCTTCCTCCTCTCTACATTTCGCTCTCTCTCTCTCACACACACACACACACACACACACACACACAGGAAACATCATAGGCCTTACAATAATGGTATGTGAGAAATCGCCTTCTAACTATTGCTCTCACACAACCATCAAGGGGTCGGTTTGCAATAGAAAACCGTAGCTGCAGGTATCACGTTTTGGGTTGAATAGAACAGAGTAGAATATCTTACTTGCTTTCCCTGGCCGGGGCCTTTGCAGCAGCTTCTGCACGGTGAGCAGGTCCTCGGTCTTCACCGCCTGCAGCAGTTCCTGGTCCTTCCCCATCTTCCGCTCTGAGCCGCTCTACTCCCGCAGCATCCTCCGACACAGCGGCGCTTCAGCCCTGCCTCACCACGCGGAGGGTGCGTCTACCGCGGCTACGAACAGCCTCCCTCCTCCCCCCTGGTCCCTGGACTAGATGAGACCCCCACCCCCCTAGAGCTCTAGCATATGATGGGGTGAGAGAGGCTGAAAGGGAGAGGGAGAGGGAGGGATGGATTAGGTGGGATGGAGGGATGCTCTCGGGTATCCCCCGCTTTAAGTGCAGCGCCACAGGATGGCGATGGGACCGGAGGCTACTGCGCCGATCCAGATTCCAGTAACAGCGCGCTGGCGTGGCGTGCGTGATATTTTGACGGTGGAGATGAATGGTCTCGTTTCCACGGTTTGCTCGCTCTCCTCATCTGTGATACCGGCTGGAGGCAGGTCGGTCTCCCGTGCAGCTGCACACCAAAACAACGATTAACCGAGCTCAAGTCAGTGCTGGATCCTCGCGGAGGGCAGGAGACGTCAAAACGGACTGATGTAGCGAGAAGCCTCGCGGGCTCACTAGTAGACACTGCGCGTGGATGATTGTGCGTTTAGAAATCGGGTGCGCGCGGTGTACGTTTCTCCCCAGGTTGTGCCGCTCTCGTGCTCTGCGTCGTAAACACAATCCACGGCTGCTGCCGCTGCTGCAGCCATCGCTCCGCGTGCGCTCGGGTACCTCTATTTGGTAATGATTTTCTCCGCGTGTGGGGGGGTGGGGGACAGGGGTAGTGTTGGGGGAGGGGAGCAGAGGGGGGGGGGGGGGCAACTAACACGGTCGCCGCCTGGTGAGGATCTTGCATCGCTTCTTACAGCTGGCCCAGCTCGTACCGCTAAATGGCTCGTGCTGCAACTTGGGGGCGGACCAGGAGCGAGGTGCTCTCCCGCCTCCTTTCTCATCTCTCTCTGACTGTCTCTATGGCGCTCCCTCTTTGCTTTATAGAGAGGCTGCAGAGATTTATTCAGCTGCTGGAAGACAGGGAGAGAAATGAATAAACAGTGTGTTCAACTCTCTTCGTCTCATTGCATCACCATTTTTTTTATTAAGCTAAATTAGCTACACCTGCATCATAGCTTTTTCCCAAGTGGTGTTAGAGTTAGATGTGATCCAGTGCAGCTACTACATAACTGAGACAAGGGATTTCAGACTCACAAATACATGGTCTTTTATAAAGACCCAAGAGGCAACATCAGAGGCTGAAAAATGAAGCCAACACTGAAGTACCTAAAACTGCAGTTCTTCAAATGACCACTTGAGGCTGGCTCCAAAAGTGAGTCAATCACCATAGACTCCCATGTTAAATTATCATCTGGTACTGGCTGACAGCCAGACGTTTTTCTGTGTGTGTGCTCCAGAATTGGTCCAGATATGTAAGTAGCATCTGATAATCCTGCTGTATATGGGCCAGACTCGGGCCATGGGACTGGGCATATACTGGGCCAGAAGAAACAAGCATGTGCCCCAAATATAGGCGGGATTTATTCAGCTAGCCCCTCCCCTTTTTCCCAGCAGATAGCAGCAATGGGCTACTGTCAAATACTACATCATATTGCACAGACCATTCAAACATAAAGCAAGAGCAAGCAAATTGGTGGAACAACTGGTAGCAGGAGGTTTTGTTGCCTTTGGACATAACCAAGATAGCTTTTTCACCTGCATTCTTTATGCTAAGTCGAGATAGCTGTCTGTTTGTGGTAGCATCATATTTGCCGTACAAACATGAGAGCAGTGTTTGTTTTTCCATCTACCTTTCAGCAAGAAGGCAACTCAGCATATTTCCTACAATATCAAACTATTCCTTTAAGATCCCTTTTTATGTCACATATCTGAGTACACATAGCTTTTATGTTTGGATAATGCCTTTCACATATTCAATTAATCTATTAACCTGGGCATTTATACTGAAACCTACAGCTATGTATCTACATGTATGCTGTGGTCATAAACTCAATTAGAGAAGAGCAGTGAATTTGACAACATCTAACATGTCTTCTCTCTCTATCCAACCTCCTCCAGATTTTTAACTCTCCTCTCCATTGTGTGTGTGTGTGTGTGTGTGTGTGTGTGTGTGTGGGCAGTATGCAGTGCTTGGATGCTGCTCTCTGCCTCCTCCACATATCTAGTGAGTTATGTAAGAACACTAAAAAGTAGCCCATATGGTACTGAGAGAGTATTTATAAATCCGTCCCTGTTAATGCAAAAGCAGCTCACTTACCCCGGAGCTGTGTTAACACTTACGTTTGATATATAAATGCTTCATTTTATAGAGTTTACCTGCTCCTCCCCTCCCCCTATCTCTTTTCTTTCTTTCTTGGTGTCTTTATTCTGGTATTGTTAGACAGGAACAGTGGCTTTGAGGCAGGAGTCAATATACATCCAAGGGATGACACTGTAGATTCATGAGACACTTGGCCATATCTAATTACAATCAAAGAGATCTGTCCTGTGTGTGTGTGTGTGTGTGTGTGTGTGTGTGTGTGTGTGTGTGTGTTGGTGATGGGAGGAGTGAAATTCTTTACCAGTGAGTGAGAAGTGAGAAGTGAGAAGAAGTTTCTGCTCGTGCATACGCCTGCAGACACGCCCTTTCATCACACACTGTGTCAAACAAACAAGCAAACAAAACAGGGACTGACATCATTAGAACCTGCATTGCTTTAAGGGACGAGGACAAATCGGATGTTAAAAGGCAGAAGAAAGAAAAAGGAGAAGAGGCAGCAGCAGAAGAACTCTTCAGATGCATATTTAATGAATGGTAGTGGTAGTTTTGGTATAAAGAAATATTTTGTTTGAATGTCACATTCTCACAACTGAATGAGATTTGTTTTTACCATCTCTGTCGATCTCAAGCCAAATGTTTCTCTTTCTGCAGGTACTCATCCTGACTGCATTTCAGGATCTAATTTAGAATAGTTGTTCTTGCAATATGTAGTTAAAGGGGAAAGGATCATAATTCTTATCAGGCAGAAACTTTTACATATCAAAACCATTCATATTTGAAACTCAAAAGTCACTTCATTTATCAACAACCTAAGTCAGGATGTTGTGTGAAGCATCTACAAAAAAACACTGCCCCCAAGTGGCTAGTCACAAATCATACAATTCCTACGACTGCTTTGGTGTTTATTCTCGTTAACAGGTCTAGTTCAGTTCGTTAAAAGGATAAAGGCACAGAGTTTGTACAAATATGTTTTAATTTGTAGAAATATAACCACTCAGCTGTAACTATTCACACCTGACTGACTGCAAGCAAAATATTAAATACTTTAAAATGAAACCGACTGACTGCTTCTCCTGCTTTGCTCATATTCATCAAGTCAAGTACAGAGTAATCCTAGAACACATACGTGTGGAAAATTACATTTTTTCTTTTTTAAGATTACATGATCATTCAAATAAGATCCCCAGTAGGCCTCTAGAATGACTTCAGTATTTATAATTTATACATTTGGATAATGGAACAAACTGACGCTTTGGTGCGCTGAATTGAATTGCACGTCTTTATTTAATGGGGCAATAACACACGCAAACAGCGTTTAGGCAGCATCGGCTAATGAAGAAAGAGCTCACAAACGTCAGCATACATTTGCACTTAGCGCATTTTCATTATACAACGTGAACAACTACAGAAGAATTATACTTCATGCACGGACCTTTTTGGACGCACCATAGGCTTGAGTTCACAATCTTCGGAAACTGAGCAATCTAGCGAACCTACATGTAAAAGTGGATTTTATCGGTAAATTGAAATTAGATTAAGTGACTGAACCTGATAGGGAAAAAGTGCAAACTACACTAACGTAAAACTTTTGCATTTCAAAATTAAGTGTCGACTGTGGACATCACTGAAACCACAGATTGCAATATATTACTTCTCTCTGATGAATGGGTTGTTTACGGGTTTAAAAAGAACACTTGAATGCATCTTAAGACCTCCAATGAAGTATTTCCTGGCCTGTGATTGGTCGAGCTGGACTTCCGTCAGAACAAAACCTCGCAGTCAGTCAGAGAGTGAAGGGAACAGGTTGAAAAGGAGCTAGGGGCTTGTAGATTCAAATACTGTTGGTTGCAGGTTGTAACCGGACTTAACACACAAGCTGGTGAGGATTCTTATCATCCTGTATTTCTATTAATAGTAATTATTGTGATTTCTACGTGTTACATAGGCATACTTGCATTCTGATGCACGAAAAATTAATTCGCGCATTCACGAGCTTTGCCACGGCAAGATTATTTTTTGCGAGCTATCGCGTTAGTACTGTTAGTCTGTTAACGGTAGCTAACGCTATGTCATCATGTCAGAGGCAAACGTTTAAGATAAACCTAAGCTAACGTTATCAATTTAACTGATTTCACATAACAGGCATTACAACGACAATACCACTTGACGGTTTAACCTCCATTCATTGTCGAATAAAATATGTCGCTGTTAATGGCAAAGTCCTGTGTTGTCCCGTTAGCTTAGCAACGTGTGGAAGCTAATGTCGTGACTGTTGATAGTTAGGATGAACGATTACTACCCTCTATTAAAAGCCTATTAAACGTCATTGACTCCTTTAAAACAATTTTCGCTGTTCTAAGACATGTATTTAAATACGACAATTAGCCGTCCAGTTATTGTAAAGCGTTTATATTATGGTTGCACATGGCATGTGATTGTAGCCCAGCCTTTTTTGTTTGCTGTGTTATTGTTCTCTAAACTTCCTTAAGTGTGAATGCAAGCAGACCCACAGAAACGCTTTCCCCATTTAAACATCTCAAACCATAGACTGTATATGCTCCCAAACACACATCACAAACAAATGCAAGGTAAACTAAAAATTAAAGAACATAATAATAAACAAAATAAAAAATCTGTGAACAAATTTGTAAATCAGTACAAAGATAATAAGCATGTATGAAAAGGAGTTTGTGAAAGACAAAAGCAGTTAAAGTAGATTTAAGATTTAAATAGCTTTGTTCAAGGAGGTAGGTAGTACAAAGACTGTTGGCCCTTCACAGTAAAAGCTCATTATCTGATGATTGGTTTGACTTGGCATGTGTTTAGGGCTGTAACCAACGGTTGTTTCCACTGCTGATTAATCTGCCAACTATTTCCTCGATTAGTTGGATCAATTGTTTTGGCTATTAAATGTAAGAAAATAATGCAAAATGCTCCTTATTATTATTATTATTTTTTACAGCTCAAGATGTCAAATGTCTTGCTTTGTTCAGTCAACAGTCCAAATCTAAAAGATATTAAAATGTAGTTATTGAGCAAAAGATACACTCTCACATTTGAGAAGCTGCAGTAATCAAATTTCAGGCATTCTTTGCTCAGATATGACTAAAACAATGACGTGTTTGTCAAAATAGTTGCTTGATTCTGTGTCGATTGAATAATCAAGTAATTGACTAATCATTGCAGCTCTATATATATTTATGAAGTGTTTCACAATAGGAAATTGATTTGAACTATTCCAAACTTCTGTGATGCCCATTTGGGTCCAACTTTTAAGCTTAGGAGTAAATGCATTGCATGGGTTTTCATAAAGGAGAGCCATTCTCTCCCCATCAGGATTTTTCCCACTGTATATTTGGTATATCAAACCTTATAAGTACTGATGTGAAATAATACACATTTTTTTCAAAGATGTAAGTGTGTTTTTTTGGATTTATGCCTAAAAAAAGATGGGGAATTTCAACTGCAGTAAAAGGATGATGCTGTGACACAGTTTAAAAGGAGAACTCCTCATTGCTTTTTGCAGGAAGCTTCTTGAATAACTCTGTCCCATTCTGAGGCAAAAGGAATATGTGTCCAGGTTTAATTATTGTTATGCTGAAGTTTTTGCTTTTTTGTAATTTCAGCACAGCTCAAAAGAGTGGAGAATGACTTCAGCAGAGGTTCTTATGACTAACTATCAGTCTGAATACAAATATAGATTGAACTGATGTTTTCTTTCCACCTTCACACACTCACATGTGTACCTACTCGTCCAGTCAAGGTTGAGTGATCATAGTATTTTTATATTCTAGTCTGTCTGTCATGATTGTGTACACTGAGGAGCAAGAGATCTTTAAATATTAATTCTCCCTTCAACTGAAAAACTACTTTTATGTTCATTGGCTTATTGTACGTCTTTAAAGACCAACAAAAATGTGTTTCCTGTTCCTCATTGACTTGAGATATGAAAGTTGACACAAAGATTTTAAAGGAAGTAACCGCTCCTCCCTCTCTCTCCACTGCAGGAAGGTCTCAGCGCAGCGTGGGTGCCCAGGGATCCACTGCCTGAGTGTGGGGAGAGCAGCGGCCGAGACCCCAGAGACATGAACCACACAAAGGGTGGCCTGGTCATCTTCACCGCCAACTCACACCCCTCCGGCCGCGAGCTGAGCAAGAGGATTGCAGAGTGAGTACAGAAGCAATAGCTGACATATTAAAAGCACGCGTAAGAGGAAACTTCCCATATTAGTCATTTGGGAACAGGTCTGCTGCCTCCTTTGTCTCAAATGAAGAGAAAAAGCAGCTTCTGCAGCTGTTGAATGCTGATACACTCTTTTCACTTATGCTTCTTGAAAGACAAGTCTAGATGTGCTGTGTTTCCATCTGAATTGTTGGTTCTCCATGTGCCAGCACATGTGCAATGTTTACAGTATGGCTGATCAGAGCGTGGTTTGTGGTTCAGCTTCACAAAAGACAACAATGGTACAGCAAAATATAATCGCTGTGCAAACATAATTTCAAAGACAAAGTATTTCCTGCAGCTTGGTAACAGAGCGTAGCAGGTTTGTTTCACCCCTGTCATATGCTGCAGAATTATCTCATTTTAGTATGTCCAACTACATTAAAGAAACAGTGAATATTCATTATTCATATTTGAATATTTATTTATTTTTCCTTTTTAAACAAAAGGAATCATAAAATATGTTGTTATGACAACTCTCTTTTGCCACCTCAATTTGCCAAAGAAAGGTTAATTTTGACATATTTAAAAAAAAAAAAAAAAAATTTTCTCTCAATTAAATTATATGCCGAGACTCACATTAAAGTAGTAGTTTGTCTGAGGGGAAACTAATTCAAAAGATTACTGAGAGAGATATTGAAACCTCTTGACTCCAGGAGATTGTCATGGTCTTTTTAGATGGAGGGTTACATTTCTGCTTCCCTCAGACTTTGTTTATCATTTTCAAATCATGAACACAGAGAAGCACGATGAGTAAGCAAAGGACAAATAGGAACTACTTACAAGTGTATTTATTGGAAACATATATGCAAACCAACAATATATGTTATACAAATATATGTTTCATTTAATTTATTAACTCAAAACAACAGAGCCATTCGACCTGCTCACCTTCCCTGTCACCAGCTGTACAATCACATTTAACCCTGTGACTGAGTGATACCCCCTCACTAAATAAAGTGAATAGTGTTAACACTTAAGTGTTAAATGTAAAGTTAATAAATAAAAACATACAAACATATTGTAGAAAATGTTGAAACTTCAGCTTTTCATAATGTGTAAAGATGTGAAACCCAGGAGCCAGAGGGCAGATATGGAGGCTTCAAATGGAGAAGAATAAGAAGTGACACAAAAGCTGAATTTATGCAAAATTGTCACTTGATCTCGAAGAATATCGATTCAGTGAAATTCATTACTGACCTCACCACCTGTTGCCTCTTTAAAAATAACCAGTTCCATGACGAGCTGCAACATTGTCTAGATTTCATCATGTTATGTGTAAACACAACATTCAAAAACTGCAAAACCAAGTGGAAACACACGTGATGCAGCCCTGGACTCTGAGAGTCTGTGCATGTTTATACCACATATTTGTCCTGGCCTGTCAGACACGAAATTCCATGCTGTGTATGTGTGTGTGTGTGTGTGTGTGTGTGTGTGTGAGAGGAGTGGCAATATAATAAAGCATTTTAACAGTTTACAGGGAGAAAATGTGCAGTGTGTTATGTTTCAAAAGTTGCCATAAATTCAAAGGAGAAATTTAGCAACAAATAAATCCATATGTACTGACAGTATGTAAATTTTTTTCAGTTTGAAATATATGTTCTCATGTTATGGAGAAAATAACACGTTTCATCAAGCATTCCTGCTGTCTGTATGAATATAAACAGACCTCAGCTACGTAAATTGTAACAACAGTTTTTGTTCAAGCCAATGAAGCACGTTTTGCTTTTAAAGCCTAAGCTGAGGTTCTCTCCTTCTCTTCCCTCTTTGTCCCTCTCTCTCAGGCGGTTAGGGGTGGAGCTTGGCAAGGTGCAGGTCTACCAGGAAGCCAACAGAGGTAAGATGATGACTGATGAGGAATGACTCTTTGTGCATGGTTAGATATTTACATATCAGCATATTCTTTATTTAATCAGACAGTCTCACTGAGATCAAGCACTCAGCAGCTGCAGAGATGTGAAGAGCAGACTAATCTAGTCATGTATTGAGTTGGAGAAGAGACATATGCATACAAGTCTGCATCATCTGCAAAGAAATGTATACAAGTCTGGAGTAACAGTGTTGTTTCTGTAGATAATAACACAGAACCTTGTGGTACACCACTGATTATTAACGGGAAAGTTGATCTGAGACTATTAGTACAGATAATCTGGGTTCAGACACATGCGTGAAACCAGTTCTGAGAGTGACTGTCCATGCAAAGACATTATTTGTTTATTAAGATGAAGTGGTTAACAGCATCAGAAACAAACACAGCATGTCTGTCAATCATAGTTTGTTAACAATTAAAGTAAACATCACTCAACCCTGCAAGGCAGTGGCTGCATAGTTCACTAGAGTACTTGTGTGGTATGAAGACACATGGGAGAAGGGCACACAGATAAATGATTGATAGCTGTTTTACTGTGTATGTCAACAGGTTAGTTGTTAAATGATGTGTAGCTGTTATTAGAATGTGTTGTGTTAAAACAACAAGTTCTGTGAACATAAGTCTGTTACGTAACATGATGATGTTATTTGCTGTAGCCTTTAACAGCATTGGCTGCAGAGACTTTGAATTCCTCTGCTGAGTTCTGATTATTTATGAGCATCAGACAGACTTTTCAAACTGTCCCTCCTCGCAGCTGTTTATTACAAGATACGGATGCAAGTTAGACAAAACAGAGCAAGTATTCAGCAGGCTACATATCTCAGGCAAGGTTCAAGGACAGGCAAAATAACTGAAAGGGAACTAAAAGACACTGAAAACTGTCTGAATGTACAAAATGTGTCTAGAAACTAATTGTATGCATTTGAAAAACAGAATGTACAGTGGAAAATACACATTTTCTAGTTAATGCATTAAATCATACAAAACCACGATGGCCCTTTTTTTAAATTCTAACTGCTGTGTTCTAACCGAGTTTCAGGTTTCTTAGCTCCCAACCTACATTAACTCTCAAACACTCACAAACACGTCTGAGTTAATGGCAGTTGTGTGTGTGTGTGTGTGTGTGTGTGTGTGTGTGTGTGTCATTTGGCTGTGGTGAGGAAGCATTGTGTTTTCTGTTCTCTTTTCCATGGGAGCCACATTGTTGGAATGCTAGTATCTACAATTTCACACTGTGTGTGTGTGTGTTTGTATGAGAGGCACAAAGGGCTCAGCCCTCTAATGAAGCTGTAAGGCCTTGCAGGCTTTGTTATGAGGTACGAGTGTGTGTGCACGTGCAATTGAATGTAAGTTTATGTGTGCATGTTTTCTTGCTACTCTCTCATTCTCACACCCTGTTTGTTTCCATAGAAACAAGGGTACAGATCCAGGAGTCGGTGCGAGGCAAAGATGTCTTTGTGATTCAGACAGTGTCCAAGTAAGAAAGAAAACACCCACAATTCAACATTTCAACATAGTTTTAACATTTTCCCCCTGAGACATCTCCTATCACATGTTTTATTAATACTGTCTTCCTCTCCATCTCCTCCCTCTGTCCCTCGGCTGTATCAGGGATGTGAACACCACCATAATGGAGATGCTGATCATGGTGTATGCGTGCAGGACATCCTGTGCGAGAAGCATCACGGGAGTCCTCCCCTATTTCCCCTACAGCAAGCAGTGTAAGATGAGGAAGAGGGGCTCCATTGTCTCCAAGCTCATTGCCTCTATGATGTGTAAAGCTGGTAAGTGGGAGAGAATTGATTTAAGGCACAACACAGGAGGAAAGCAGCGGAAAACTCACTTATAGCATGTCTTCACTCAAAATTACAACAAAAGAAAACCTAGGATCACAGGGTGCTTGTAACATTTACTATGAAAACTATACGGGAAGTAAAATACGATGACGTATTTACAAGACTAATCTGAAAGTACGTCTGTCATAGCTGCTGGTGAAGCCTGTGCTGTCATAACTGTAAACATTAATGCTGTCAAACTGACTGTGTTTGTGCAGGTCTCACACACCTGATCACCATGGACCTCCATCAGAAAGAGATTCAAGGTTTCTTCAACATCCCAGTGGACAATCTGAGAGCCTCGCCCTTCCTGCTGCAGTACATACAGGAGGAGGTAAAGACACACATTAATGCGCAACATGAATTGTTTTCTTACCTTTAACCTCACTGGGCACAAACTGTTGTTAATGGTTTATTTTTCCTGTGCCTGTATCATTCACTAAGCCCCGCCCCCTATAGTTACTATCGCTACGCTATTTTTAGATTTTTAGCACATTGTCAGGGAATCTGAAAGACTTCCAAAGTCTTTAAGTGCCTTTCTGTATGCACATGTTCAGACCTATACCAAACACAGTCACTGCTGTTAGCTTCTGTAGCTCGGGAGCTTATCGTCTCATAATGGGCAAGTTTTTTCTAATCTTTTTTCATTGGTTGATCCATCCATTTTCTGCAGCTTATAATTTCTTTACTTCGGTCGATATGACCAAAAAGGGTGCTAAATTTCATTCTGTGTGATTGATTTGATTTAATTTATCATTATTATTATTAGTAATCATTTTATTTTTCTAAAACAAGAAAACGGTCAAGTGGCTGAAGCTACACAACCTTGGCAGAAGGTCATCATCCTCACCGGATCATAAATGGAAATAAAGAAACCACTTTGTTCCTGCATTTCCGTACAGAGCTAGTTAATCCTGGTGTTTTAAGTGTGATGAGGAAAAATGTAAGATTAGCCTGTTATTTCACGGCCCTGTTTCACTTCTCAGTTTACATACATGGACAAGTAAGATTAAAGTTTGTTGTTTGTATTTTCAAACATTTTTTTTCACTTTCAGTGTTACAAGAGAAAAGTCTTTTAGGATATTGACTAAGCAATTTTGTTTAGCAATTGTATACAAATCTGACCTTTTTACATTGCATCCTCATTTTCCATGAACCTCCAGATCCCTGATTATAGAAATGCTGTGATTGTGGCCAAATCTCCAGCTTCTGCCAAAAGGTAGGCTCTCTGCACCTGATTAATGAAATCACCTTAAACTGTGCTGAGCCTCTGAGCTGTAACTCATTATATTTTAAGTGTTAATTAACATGTTAATCATACACATGTGTTGTTCCCTCTCTCACCACTCTCTGCTTGGCTGAGGAAGTTAGGGTCCAAAATTTCCGCTATGTAGCAGCGTACATTGCTGGGGGGTGCCGGTGACGTTTTATGGCAGAAAGTTTCTACTTCCTCTGAACAGCTGAAGGCTTCAGATAAAGGAGCTTAGTATGTTGTCATTAACAGCTGTTGTATTTGCGTTTCTCTCTGTGTGCAGGGCTCAGTCATTTGCTGAACGGCTGCGTCTGGGTATAGCAGTGATCCACGGTGAAGCTCAGGACGCTGAATCAGACCAGGTGGATGGGCGACACTCCCCACCCACCGTCAAGACCACTGGAGCCATTCATCCCAGCATGGAGATACCATGTAATACACACACACACACACACACACACACACACACACACAAATAAAGATAAACCATGTAAACACCAATTTTTGCAATATAAATAGGTGTGTAACTTTGTCTCTGTGTCCTTTTCATTTTTGTTTCCAGTGTTGATCCCTAAAGAGAAACCTCCCATCACTGTGGTAGGAGATGTAGGAGGACGCATCGCCATCATAGTGGTGAGAGCATACAGTTTGATTGGTTTAAGTGCATTATTATGGCCTTTCAGTGTAAATACAGAAGATTGTTTTTTTTTTATTTTTCTAGTAAGTCTTTCTTTATTTTACGTATTGTGTTTTGCTACATTTGAGGTCACATACGTTAAAGATTAACTGCAAACACAAAAACAAACAGTGAGAATGAGAAATGTGCCAAATCAGCGGCTGCAGCAGAGAAGAAGCTGCAGGTCGGCGTCCTGGCACTCAGCTGTGTCTCTGAGACAGATAAAGGAAACCTTCCCTACGGGACAATACCTTCATGATGCCATTATCAGTGGATGCAGAGACTGGTTTTCCACAGAGAATTGCTTATTCTTTTCTATTCTGCTGTAGCTGTAATGAGTTTTAGAAATCACTGTTTCAGTATCAGCCAAGAGAATGTGAACACCCATTTAATGACTGATGAAGGACTGGCAGAGATCCAGTGCCTCACGGTGTGATCCCAGTTTAGTTTAGAGCAAAACATCACACATGCTTAGAAAATACAGACTGTGTCAAAGTGAATGTTTAAAACAAAAATACTGTACTTTATGTAGATTACTGTACAGGGATACTGACTGCATCTGACAAATCAGTCCATTCTGTCAAAGTAAAATTTAAATTTTTAACTGAATATACATCAAAATTGTCAAATACAGAAACTCGGATGTTAGAGTCCATTTGAGGGATCACTTCAACTTACAGTCTAAAACCGAGTCAGTTATATCTCATTAGTTATCATTCTGCTTTATTCTATACATACAGTAACTTTTGACATGTTTAAGGAGCTATTTGTCATTCTGCCATCACTACATAGCTAATGTTAGTATTAACAGCTGTTTAGGTACCAGTCTGGAAGAAATGTGAGTTAAGCATCAAACTTCATTCCTTTACTCACTCAGGATGACATCATCGATGACGTTGACAGTTTTGTGGCAGCAGCGGAGACGCTGAAGGAAAGAGGGGCCTACAAGATCTACGTCATGGCCACACACGGCATCCTCTCCTGCGACGCTCCCAAGTTCATAGAGGAGTCGGCTATCGATGAGGTGAGTTTCTACTTTTATTTATTTCCTCTTCACTTTCTCATCTCTCTCATCTAATATTTCTCTCACACACTTTGTTTTTGTTTTGTTTTTTTCCAGGTGGTGGTGACCAACACGATTCCCCACGAGCTCCAGAAGCTTCAGTGTCCAAAGATCAAAACGGCTGACATCAGCATGATCCTGTCGGAGGCCATCCGCCGCATCCATAACGGAGAGTCCATGTCCTACCTGTTCCGCAACATCGGGGTGGATGACTGAACAGCCTGTCACACACATACAGACGAGCACACACACACACACACACACACACACACACACACACACACACACACACAGAGAGAAACATACTAACACAATTCCCATTTGCCTTCGTAGAACTCCCCAGACACACAGATGAATTATACACACAGAAATATCAGTTCCTTACTTGTATCATTACGCACAAATATGATGCTAATCCTTTCCTCTGAGTGCAGCTTAACATAGAAGATGACTGAACACAAACACACACACACACACACGAGCAAACACTTCCACTTATCTCCATAGTTGTGGCTGAACACATACTGATCTGTGTCCTAAGTGGACATTAATGGACAACTGCCTCTCTCTCCAATGGCTGCCCTCTTGTCAAACAGTACACAACTACCTTCTTTAGTTACTTCTCCAACTTCATCTTCAAAATGTTTTTTCTCCATATGTGTTTCCGTTGAAATTAACGTTGATGTTAAATCTGTGGTAGAACATGATATTTGTTGGCATTGAATGTCTTTTTCTGATACTTTTGGTAAAGGAGATTGTACTGCAAGTGTGCCAGTGCCTTCTACAGGACATACTCACAAACACACAGGCCTTCATCACTCCGATACACAACTGGGTCTCAGCTAACGTTACTGATTCATATTGGCCCTTGTAATTAATCCAGGATTATGCAGGGTTATAGCTGATTAACTTGTGTAGAATATCAGAGTTCATGTTTAAATACAAACCCCTGTCAGTTTTTTGTTTGTTTATGTTGTGTCTAAATATATGCTACTAATATAGTTAGTTTAGACTCCCACTAGTTAGCCCAGTTAGCCATACAGCGTCTGTGTGGTTGCCATAGCACTTAGATTTTAATCTGGTGTCAAATCTACTAATTACAAAAGTTGAACTGGAATTAATGCAGGACATATTTTCTCAGTCTAGTAAATTGGATGCTACAAACCTTTTTATGGCAGTGCACCTGTGAAATATGTTTCCATGAGTCATCCATAATAACGTTGTGTGCCATCTTTTCATTGCCTCCTCATATTTGTTGTTTGTTCATGCCACAAATGAGCAGTTCCCTTCCAGCTGCAGGGCTCTGCAGCAAAGAAACTCAGAGGTTTCAACAAAAAAAAAAAAAGAAAAAAAAAAAAGGTCAACACAGTTTTACTCTCTAGTTGGGAGTGGAAGGTTCTTAATCATTTGGAAATGTGTAAATTAATCCTTGATCCTGCGATCATGGTGAAAGAGTCAGAAGAAGTTTGTTAAAACGTGTGATACCTGAGTTTCAGACAATGAAATTCCAAATTGCAGCTGAAGCTGTCAAAGTAAATTGAAGCTTTTTTCTGACAAGCAAAACCTGACTGAAGCAGGTCTTTGTCACTTTACCAGATGTGTTCCAGAAATGTTTTGTATTTATTTTCAGCACTTAATCTGAATAAATGATCTATGAAAATAAGCAACGTCTTGTTTTGTCCCTTCATATTTGAATGTGTATTTTCTTGCAAGCATAACAAGTGTTTGATAATATGCTGATATTTTAGCAGGTACAGTGTCTATTGTGGTTAGCATTTTAATTTAACATGTTGGCATATTTACGCTTGGTACTTATCACAACACAAAGTTCAGCTCAGGCTGATGGAATATCTTGAGTTCTGCAGGTATTTGGTCATAAATAGAAGTATTGGACCTGATGATGGTGTGAAATAAATCATCAGATCATTAAAGTTATTATAATTCATCCAGAAGGAGACATTACTTAAGAGTACCAAATTTTAACTGTGGAGATATTTCTTTTTTTCATTTATTAAAATCAATCAAACAGTGTCAGCAACATAGAGGAAACAATGCTTGGGAAATAAATAAACCACATTCATACATTCCTGTTGATGTCTGTTGACAGTTCCAATTTGAGTATTGCATACTGCAAATTTCCTCAATTTTTTGTCTACTTGTGGCTTTTGTACTATCAATGTATACATCAGTTTTACCATTAAGCTCTATTTTGACCGGCTACTACATTACAGTACTGCTTTGACACTGAAACGTCAGCATAAATAATCTAATAATGTTATATACAGTACAATAATCTATTGGAATGAGTGCTTTTACTTATGATAATTTAGGTACATTTTACTGGCAATATATGGAAGAGGATTAGGGCCACTGTAGGTTCATGTCTTGTGAGAATATCACGGCGGTACCTAACGTCACCAGAAACATGTCAACTGATGTTACTTAACCATGATAGGTAGCGTTAACTAGCAAGCAACTGGCTTCTGTCTTCTATATGCGAGCAGTCAGGTTGCTAGCTGGATTAACCAATTAAATGGTGGGTATATCAAAATATCAAAACATTTTATGTAATATTAAACTTTGACTTTTTTATGGCTTACTATACAATGAATTTTTATTCCTTACTATACTATGACATTTTTTGACGTTTTTATACCTTACTATTCTGTGACTTTTTTATGCCTTATTATATTATGACTTTTTTAAAAAAATTAAACTATACTATGACATTTTACACAATATTGTACTATTAATTTTTTTGACATTATTATGCCTTTTTATACTGTGACTTTTTTTAATGCAATTCTATTCTATGTTGTTTTTGTACCTTACTATACTATGACGTTTTTAAGACTTTTTATGTCGTACTATACTATGACGTTTTTATGACTTTTCATGCCTTTACTATACTATGTGATTTTTATACCTTACTATACTATGACGTTTTTAAAAAATATTTTATTCCTTACTATACTAAGTCGTTTTTAAGACTTTTTATGCCTTACTATAATATGACATTTTTTAAAAATTTTCATGCCTTACTATACTATGACGTTTTTTTGACTTTTGATGCCTTACCATACCATGTGATTTTTATACCTTATAATACTATGTTTTTAAGACTTTTTATGCCTTACTATACTATAAAGTTTTTAAAATTTTTTGTGCCTTACTGTACTATGAAGTTTTTGACCTACTATACGATGATGTTTTTATGACTTTTTATGCTCTACCATACTATGAAGTTTTTTAAAAAATTTTTTTCCTTACTATCCTGACTTTTTTTTTACTTTTCATTCCTTACTATACCATGTGATTTTTATACCTTACTATACTATGAAGTTTTTATGACTTTTCATGCCTTACTATACTGACGTTTTTTTGACATTTTATGCCTTACTATACTATGATGTTTTTAACACTTTTTATGTCTTACTATACTATGTTGTTTTTCTGACTGTTTATGCCTTACTATACTGTGACGTTTTTAAGACTTTTTATGTCTTACTATACTATGACGTTTTTATGCCTTCCTCTACTATGTCATTTTTCTGACTTTTTATGCGTTACTATACTATAACTTTTAAAAAAGATTTATGCCTTACGACGATTTTATGACTTTTTATGCCTTAGTATACTATTAAGTTTTTAAAATTTTCTATGCCTTACTATACTATGACGTTTTTATTCTTTACTATACTATGTCGTTTTTATGACTTTTTAAGCCCTACCATACTATGACGTTTTTATGCCTTCCTCTACTATGTCGTTTTTATGACTTTTTATGACTTACTATACTGTGAGTTTTTAAAACTTTTTATGCCTTACTATACTATGACGTTTTTATGCCTTCCTCTACTATGTTGTTTTTATGACTTTTTATGCCTAACTATACTATGGCGTTTTTTTTTAATTTTTATACCTTACTATACTGTGACCTTTTTTTTACTTTTTATGCCTTACTTTACTGTCATTTTTCTGACTTTTTATGCGTTACTATACTATGACTTTTAAAAAAAATGTTATGCCTTACTATAGTATGATGTTTTTAAGACTTTTTATGCCTAATTTTACTGTGACTTTTTTTTTGACTTTTTATACCTTATTATACTATGACGTTTTTCTGACTTTTTATGCCTTACTATAATGTCACCTTTTTTTTTACTTTTTATGCCTTACTCTACCGTCCTTTTTCTGACTTTTTATGCGTTACTATACTATGACGTTTTTATGACTTTTTATGCCTTACTATACTATGACGTTTTTTTTTACTTTTTATGCCTTACTATACTGTGATGTTTTTAAGACTTTTTATGCTTCACTATACTATGACATTTTCATGCCTTCCTCTACTATGTTGTTTTTATGACTTTTTATGCCTTACTATAATGTGACCTTTTTTTTTACTTTTTATGCCTTACTTTACTGTCCTTTTTTTGACTTTTTATGCCTTACTATACTATGATGTTTTTAAGGCTTTTTATGCCTTACTCTACCGTCCTTTTTCTGACTTTTTATGCGTTACTCTACTATGACGTTTTTTTGAATTTTTAGGCCTTACTATACAATGTGATTTTTTACCTTACTATACTATGATGTTTTTAAGGCTTTTTATGCCTTACTCTACCGTCCTTTTTCTGACTTTTTATGCGTTACTATACTGTGACGTTTTTATGACTTTTTAAGCCCTACCATACTATGACGTTTTTTTGAATTTTTAGGCCTTACTATACAATGTGATTTTTATACCTTACTATACTATGATGTTTTTAAGGCTTTTTATGCCTAATTATACTGTGACCTTTTTTTATACTTTTTATACCTTACTATACTATGACATTTTCAACACTTTTTATGCCTTACTATACTATGACGTTTTTAAGACTTTTTATGCCTTACTATACTGTGACGTTTTTAACACTTTTTATGCCTTACTGTACTATGACGTTTTTATGCCTTCCTCTACTATGTTGGTTTTTGGATTTTTTTTGCCTACTATACTGTGACGTTTTTTTTACTTTTTGTCTCATTATAGTATGACATTTTTTTATCCCTTTTTATGCCTTACTATACTATGACGTTTTTATGCCTTCCTCTACTATGTTGGTTTTTGGATTTTTTTTGCCTACTATACTGTGACGTTTTTTTTACTTTTTGTCTCATTATAGTCTGACATTTTTTTATCCCTTTTTATGCCTTACTATACTATGACGTTTTTATGCCTTCCTCTACTATGTTGGTTTTTGGATTTTTTTTGCCTACTATACTGTGACGTTTTTTTTACTTTTTGTCTCATTATAGTCTGACATTTTTTTATCCCTTTTTATGCCTTACTATACTATGACGTTTTTATGCCTTCCTCTACTATGTTGGTTTTTGGATTTTTTTTGCCTACTATACTGTGACGTTTTTTTTACTTTTTGTCTCATTATAGTCTGACATTTTTTTATCCCTTTTTATGCCTTACTATACTATGACGTTTTTATGCCTTCCTCTACTATGTTGGTTTTTGGATTTTTTTTGCCTACTATACTGTGACGTTTTTTTTACTTTTTGTCTCATTATAGTCTGACATTTTTTTATCCCTTTTTATGCCTTACTATACTATGACGTTTTTATGCCTTCCTCTACTATGTTGGTTTTTGGATTTTTTTTGCCTACTATACTGTGACGTTTTTTTTACTTTTTGTCTCATTATAGTCTGACATTTTTTTATCCCTTTTTATGCCTTACTATACTATGACGTTTTTATGCCTTCCTCTACTATGTTGGTTTTTGGATTTTTTTTGCCTACTATACTGTGACGTTTTTTTTACTTTTTGTCTCATTATAGTCTGACATTTTTTTATCCCTTTTTATGCCTTACTATACTATGACGTTTTTATGCCTTCCTCTACTATGTTGGTTTTTGGATTTTTTTTGCCTACTATACTGTGACGTTTTTTTTACTTTTTGTCTCATTATAGTCTGACATTTTTTTATCCCTTTTTATGCCTTACTATACTATGACGTTTTTATGCCTTCCTCTACTATGTTGGTTTTTGGATTTTTTTTGCCTACTATACTGTGACGTTTTTTTTACTTTTTGTCTCATTATAGTCTGACATTTTTTTATCCCTTTTTATGCCTTACTATACTATGACGTTTTTATGCCTTCCTCTACTATGTTGGTTTTTGGATTTTTTTTGCCTACTATACTGTGACGTTTTTTTTACTTTTTGTCTCATTATAGTCTGACATTTTTTTATCCCTTTTTATGCCTTACTATACTATGACGTTTTTATGCCTTCCTCTACTATGTTGGTTTTTGGATTTTTTTTGCCTACTATACTGTGACGTTTTTTTTACTTTTTGTCTCATTATAGTCTGACATTTTTTTATCCCTTTTTATGCCTTACTATACTATGACGTTTTTATGCCTTCCTCTACTATGTTGGTTTTTGGATTTTTTTTGCCTACTATACTGTGACGTTTTTTTTACTTTTTGTCTCATTATAGTCTGACATTTTTTTATCCCTTTTTATGCCTTACTATACTATGACGTTTTTATGCCTTCCTCTACTATGTTGGTTTTTGGATTTTTTTTGCCTACTATACTGTGACGTTTTTTTTACTTTTTGTCTCATTATAGTCTGACATTTTTTTATCCCTTTTTATGCCTTA